ATGCTTAAATATAATATTATATTGTATAAAACCAATAAAATATAATTTAAACGTAAATATATATTTATATACATTTAATATTAAAAAGGAAAAGAAAGATGATTTTTTTATGGGAGGGTATAATAGTAAAATGAAAAATACAATGACATGAGATTTTAAAGTAATATGCAGAATTTTAAAATCTCATGCATTTAAAATTACATTATCAATTTTATAACCAAATATGGATTCATTAGGATTTTAAAATCCAAATCCTACGAAATTCCACCAAATCCACGAACCAAACAACCCTTATTCTTTCCAAAAAAATTTATTTCAAGTTCATTTTCTAGATATTCCATAACTTAAAAGCTTCTTAAAAGTTGAATGGAATTGAGAGTACTAACATGCACTCTCGTAATCATAAAATCTAACTTATTTTGTGAAATATAAACCAATTTGTTAGTACTTAAACAGAAATGTATACGGCCGTATATAATTGTTAATGGTCGTGTAACAACATGATCATATATAATTATTCACTGAAATATATATGGTATGACTGTGTATAATTGTACATGGTTGTGTACTTCACAGGTCAACTGTCACGTCACTTCCGTTATGTCCACGTCAGCAATTTTCGTTAATTTTTTTAACAGTGGGACCAAAATTGATTGAAATTATTTATAATGAGACCAAAATTGATTGAAATTGTTTATATTGTGACTAAAATTGATGAGTTTTTTTATATTGAGACCAAAATTAATTAAAATTGTTTATATTGTAATTAAAATTGATGAATTTTTTATATTGAGACCAAAATTAATTTTTTTCATATATATATATATATATATATATGCGCGCGCGCGCGCTCAAATGGTAATTTTTTTGGTTTTTTTAATCGGACAAATGGTACTTATTTGTTTGTAAGACTATTTTGTCTATGATATGTAACTTACTGTAATAATTTTCTAATGTATAGTACATGCTTACTAAAAATAAAAATAATTACTCTGGTATTTAAACAATCCAAAATGACAGAGAATATATATATATTTTCTCCGTCCAAATATAATAATCTTATTTATCATTTTTGTCTGTCTCAAAACAATAGTCTTATTTTTATAAATAATTATATTACTATAAAACTATCCCTATTTTTTTATTATTATTACACAATTGCCACTATTTTTTACACTAATATACTCACAAGGACAAAAAAATCATTTATCCTTATTTTTTATCAACTACCAATATAATATCAGTATTTTTTAAATTTTATGTCCAACACAATAAGATTATACTTTTGGGATGGAGGGAGTATATCTTATTCTCTCTTTTTTTTTTTTTTTTCTTTCCCTGCAACGATCATCAACGAATATTGTTTGGGATCTTAATCATTTTTAAGTTGTAGGTAATATGCAAAAATGGTAGTGATTAGCATTCCTTTTGGTTCCTAGGGCCCTAATAATATTAGTTTTTTTTATATATAATACTCCATTCGTCCCATAAGTAGGTATTCATTTACTTTTTGCATGTAATTTTAGAAATATTAGTATTATATTGGGATGTAGTAGAAATAAAGTAAAAATGACTAAAATAACTTTATTAGTATGGTGTGATATAAAGGTAATAACATTTGTGAAATATATTGTAAGTTGTAAGAGTATTTGTAATGTTAGGTAGATAGTATACTTACTAAAAAAAATAAAAAATAGATACTTTGTTATGGGACGGAGGGAATATTAATGTTTTGTTCTAAAAATGTTGTTTTACTAGCTTATTTATTATTTTTCCTTTAAAAAAAAAAGAATATTTGTTAAGCACAAAAAATAATAATAATAGTAAGTGGCAGTAGGATTCTGGGTAGGGTCTGAATGAAAGCCAAAAGGTCTGGAGGTCGGGCAGAATAAAGGTCGGGAAAAGGAAGAAAGGTAAGATCTCAAGAATTGATCCAAATCCAGACTCAGGTACTACCAAGAGATGGTTGTCCGTGATCAGCAGTTCGGGCTGTATTCAGGTCGGGCGGAGTCTGAACAAAAAAAAGGTGTACCCAAGTCGGGTAAACCGTAGATCGGGTGAAAGGCGAAGTGGGGCAGACGCGGAGGTCTGTCAAGAGGAAGGTCGGGCAAGGAAGAGGTACGGACAGACGCGGAGGTCTTCGGTCAAAGACGGAGGGCGGCTGATGCGGAGGTCGGCCAAGTGAGGTCGGGCGAAGAAGCAGGTCGGGCGAAGGACGAAGTCGGGCAAAAGAAATTTGGCAGTGGACAGGCAGGTCGGGTAAGAGGCAGGTCTGAGTTCTGTGACTGGTGGGAACGGTTGAAGGAAGTTGTAATACGTGTCAATAGAGGAGAAATTGGTGGTCGGTTGACAGCGGTTGCTGTAACCGACCAGACGGCGGTTCAAACCGTTTTCTCTGAAAGGCTATTTTAAAGGATTCAAATCCGTCAGAAAAGGCATCTTCAATCAACTTCAACAAAGCAAAGTCAGATTTGGGGATCACCACTTTAAATTTCAGTCTTTTATTTTCCAGTTTATTTTCTGTACCATACAGTGTTTAGAGATTCCTAATCTCAGGCACTAATTAATCAAGTTTAAGGATATTTTCTATATCTTTGAATTTTACTTTATTTTTGTTGAAAAATTACATCAACAATATTAAATGCTCGTTTTATTAATATTATTATTATTATTTTTATTATTGCAACATATATATGAATACATTAGTAATCAACTATTTTCATGTCACGAGCCAAGTTAAGCTGAATTATTAATTTAGAAAACATAAATAAATAATGAGGAAGAAAATGCCAACTGACCAATTATTAATTTAATTTGTTATTTAAGCCATTATAATAAATTGAATTACAGTGTATTAGTTTTAGTAAAATAATTTGAAAATATATTTTTTTTTCTTTTGAAAAAATATGTTAATTTTAGCATCAGCTTGAGTCTGATTTCAAATCTATTTCAATACTCCATCCGTCCCAAAAGAGTATCTATTTGCTTTTTATACGTAGTTTTAGAAATATTTGTATTATATTGGGATATAGTAGAAATAAAGTAGAAATGACTAAAATAACATTATTAGTGTGTGATATAAAAGTAATGACATTTGTGTAATATATTGTAAGTTGTAAGTGTATTTGTAATGTTAGGTAGACAGTACAGTTACTAGAAAAGGAAATTGATACTTTGTTATGGAACAGACTAAAATGGAAAAATTGATATTTTGTTACGGTACGGAGGGAATATTATTCATTATGTTTCATTATCAATTAACATAAATTATTTCTTCTTGTAACATCATTATATCATACTATTATTTAAATCAAAATTTAAATTAAAAATCTAAACTCAAATTAAAACCTAACAAACCCTTATGGTGTGTTTGGTTGTGATTTCAATGTGAAATCACAACTATTTATATTAAATGCTGATTGGCACAAAATTGTATAATACTATTGATTTGTTCGGATCACTACATGTAAACCAAATTTATTCCATGTTGATTTAATATTCATTATTTTAAATTTTTATTATCTTATATTGTATGACATATATATATAATCTATATATACATGGGTATGTTTTTTTTGATAAGTTTTGGAAAAATTTTAGCTTGAGTTTAGTATTAAAATAATGTATGATGAGATATTTTGTAAGAGGAAAAAAAAAATTTTTTTTCGGGAAAAGCATAGTCCAAATAGTAGAAATATGGGATTTGGTTATCATTTTCAAAATCAATACTATTTAATATTTACGTTTTAATATATATATTTTTTTATAAATCATATTAAAATATTATTTAAATAAAAATTTATGTTTGAAATCAATTTTTAAAATACAATCAAACAATGATTTAAAAGGCATGTTCTAGCACTAGAAATCTGAACCCCCCCGCCAGATGCCATACCTATAAACACCAATTAACCTATAATAAATAATTTTTTTATTAAAATTTTAAAATAAGTATTAAATATATAATATTTCGTTCATCCCAGTTAATTTATTCTCTTTAACTGGAGCACAAAGTTTTAGATATTATACAATTAGTAAATAATTAAAAAATATATTAGTAAAAATAATTATAAATTAAAATTAAGATAACTAAATAATTTAATTAAAATAAAAAATATATAAATTATGAATTTTAAGATGTGATTAAAGTGTATAATTATATTTTTTTAAAAAAAAAATGGACAATTTATATTGAATTGACAGAAATGAAAATAATGGACAAATTAAATTGGACGGATGAAATACATCATAAATAACTATAAATACATTAAATTAGTACATTTATTGTGTGTTACTTATAATATATTTATTGTACATTTCTGAGGGTGTGTTTGTTTGGGAGATTGAATTTTAAATCCACTATTCATTCCATTTTTTCTCTAAAAAATATCAAATCAAACATCTATTTTTCATTTTTTATATTATACTAAAAATCAATTTTATATTCAAAACATCACATCAACACCTATTTATATCACATCATACAACTATTTAAATTCAAAATTTTTACTATTCAAATCTCAATTCAAAATCCAAATCCCCAAACAAACACAAATGTACTGAGTTGAACGCCCGAATCGCCATAGTAGTTATGGACCAAACTAGATCATGTATATATTTTTATAGCCTGATTCAAACCAATATGTTACAATAATATTTTCAAATGGTTCAAGTCGAACCGAGCCGAGTTCAAACGGTTCTTTGTTCAGACAATTTGGCGCCACTCTTGGCCCATGACCAAGTCAAGAGAGGATTAAAACATACAATAATAAACTAACATAACAAATATATATAATGTAAGAGGATAGTGTTGCACACAAAATCCATTCCCAAACACATCATAGGACTTGTCCAAAGCCAAAACTAATCATACAATTCCGACAAACATTCCAATCTCACTACTAACAGCCGATCACACAATTTTTCTGCCCTATAAATAAAATAAAAATAACACCACTCATTAATTCACTCAAAACAAATAATCCTAATCCACAATTCAAATGTCCAAATCTTCCCTCACAACCTACACCATTATTCTTGCCCTACTTCTGGCCGCCGGAAAATGGGTTTCCGGCCAGAACTGCGGCTGCGCCGCCAACCTCTGTTGCAGCCAATATGGCTATTGCGGCACTGGTGACACATATTGTGGCCAAGGCTGTCGGTCGGGGCCGTGCAATAATTCACCTTCTTCGGGTAAAAAAAAGATTCCCGTCTCTAGCATTGTGACCAATTCGTTCTTTAATGGGATTATTGGTCGGGCTGGGTCGGGCTGCCAGGGAAAAGGGTTCTATACTAGGTCGGCTTTTCTCCGAGCCCTCGGCTCATATCCAAGGTTTGGGGCGGAGGGCTCCATCGATGATGTTAAGCGTGAAATTGCCGCGTTCTTCGCTCATGTTACGCTAGAGACAGGATGTAAGTAGTGTGGGAGACATGCATATAGTTACTATATCACCTACGTAAAATAATATTTCTTATGTCATTCAAATTTATTTTTACTTTTATTTTTAAGTTTGCATCTAAATTTATTCTCGTTTTTTCTTTTATTAAAAAAAATTATTTTTTTCTACTTTTTCTTTATTCTAAAAAATGAGCATATAATTGGATGATAAAAAAATTATAGTATATCTTAAACTGATCATTTTGTAGAAAAATCAATTATTAATTATATATTATATAATCGTTCAATATAGTTAAATTTTATTGCATAATTAACTTTGTAGTAGGAAAAAAAATTGTTACTTTGTTGTAATTTTGTACAAATATAAAGATTTTATGCAACCATCTTTTGCGTAGATGTTTGTAACAAAAATTTACATAAAATTGTATTTATTTGATTAAACAAGTGATATAGATATAATTTACCCTAAAAATAAATCCAACGACAACTTATGTCCACTATCGCAAAATTTGTAGTGACATACTTATAGCTACAATATACAGACAACACATAATATTGTTGCAAACAATTAGTAGTAATTAAAAGATACATTTTTTATACATATTACAACTATGATATTTACATTATTTAAAAGATTTGTAGAATTCTTATAATTCAAACAATCTTTAGTCCACCATAAATAATAGAGATTTCAGTTTCATATTTCAATTGTTACAAAGACATTTTTTTGGTGGTGACAACGATCCACTATGTTATAAACACAAAATTCGACAAATAAAAATGTATTTTCACTTGTGTATGTAGTCATGTGCTATAGAGAAGAAATCGGTGGCGCTTCTGGAGACTATTGCGACGAGAGCAACCGAGAATGGCCGTGCGTCCAAGGCAAGGGTTACTATGGGCGAGGTCCATTACAACTATCGTGGAATTACAACTACGGCCCGGCCGGTCATGACATAGGATTCGACGGTCTGAACAATCCCGGAATCTTGGCAAAAGATCCGGTTATATCTTTTAAAGCAGCCCTGTGGTTTTGGATGAGAAATTGTCATAGCGCCATAGTTTCCGGACAAGGATTTGGGGCAACGATTCGTGCCATTAATGGGCGCGAATGCGAAGCAAATTCAGAAACGGTGGCAGCGCGAGTTAGTTATTACAAGAACTATTGTAATAAGTTCCATGTCAATCCGGGGAACAATCTTTGGTGTTAAGACGAGGTAGCGAATGATTCGATGAATGAATAGTTATCGAAGGAATCGGTCAATCGAAGGCTCGATTCGAAGACCAAATGGGGTTGGGAAGAATTGTGTTTTTTGTTTGTTTTTAGCATTAAGTGTGTTTTAGGATGTCTTATGTTGTTTGAACTTATGTGTGATCCGAGTGAGAATGTGTTCGAAAGTGTTGTGTCATGTTTGTCTTAGACAAAATTCACTCAAACATTACAAATTAAATACAATGGTAAACTATGGTTGTGGAGATAATTGCAAAAAATATCCCGCAAGTATACCCCATTATCACTTTTGTCCTGTATTTATCTCGCTGGCAAAATATATCCTATGTATTTACAAAAGTTGATACTTATGTCATTTGCCTACGCGTGACGTGACACTCACACCACGCGTCCTTACGCGCGATCACGCGCAGCCAAAGGATAGAAATAGCGACTTTTGCAAACATGTAGGATATATTTTGCCAGCTAGATAAATACAGGACAAAAGTGATAATGGGATATACATGTGGAATATTTTTTGCAATTTTCCCTATGGTTGTGTTCACTTGTAATTTTTTATATTTGCTATAAAAAAATTATATCAATAATATAAAAAATAAGCATTGATCACAAATATTTTAATTCAAAAGTGTGCTGAATAAGCAAAAGTTAATTATTTTTAATAGTAATATGTATAATTAATTTATAGTTATTCAGCAAGGTGCTGAAAAAATATTAACAGCCTATAAAAAAACAATGGGTGTGTTTACTTGTAGATTTGATTTTCTATTTTACTATTTCAATTTTTTTTTCTAAAAATATCAAATCAATTAATTATTTTTTATTTATGATATTACATTAAAATAAATTTTTACATTCAAAACATTATGTCAATACATATTTATATCAGATCAAAAAATTATTTCAATTCAAAATATTATTATTCAAAACTAAAACCCAAAATTAAAATCTTACCGGTAAAGACACCCAATATTTTTTATTGAATTATTTATGTTTTGTTAGTAGATAAAGATTATATTGTATATATTGTGTTAGTATGTATATATACATTGATAATATTTATATGAAATTGTGTTATCATAAAATATAAAATGAACAAATGTTATGCGTCAAGTATAAGTATTTTTGTTAATATTAGTATAAAATATTTTATAAAAAATTATTATGACTAACTTTTACATTATCAAAAAAAATATGCACAAAAATAATTTATACACAAATTTTCGCTCCATTAAATGAAAATTATATATTTACTTTTAGCATCAAATTTAAATTTTTTTCATATCTTTATCCTAATTTTAAATTTTACATAAGATTTATTAATATAAGTGGTAATTTAATGAAGGAAGAAAAAAAAGTAAGGGCCAAACCAAGAGATAATTTAAGTTTACAGTCCAAAAAAAAATCATTTTGGGGGCCGGAGGCAAGAAAAATATAATTTACTACTCACTCCGTCCCAGATACCGTGTCTGCTATACCGTAGACACGATATTTTAGGAGGGATGTAATTAGTAGATAATTAAGAATGTATTAGTGAAAATAATTATCCTATAATATAAATAATTATAAATTAAAATTAATATAACTAATTAGTTTAATTAAAATTAAAAATAAATAAATTTTAAAAATTTAAAATGAGATTAAAGTGTGTAATTATTTTCCAAAAAAAGAAAGTGATATGATATGTGGGACGGACAGAAACGGCAACGTGGACATGGTATTTGGAACGGACGGAACGGAGTATAAAAGGAGATACTTTTTATCATTTAAATTTTATACCGAAATAATGACGCATGTCACTTAACATTGCTTAATGATCTTGCAGGTGTATATACATGACATTTATGCAAATTTGCAGAATAATCCTGCTTTTTTTTTTTTTTTCGTCCTTGTTTGTCTCTTCCTAATTTTTTAAAATTATACTTTCAACAGATGATCTTATTTTCTTTTGGTACGTCTTGTAAAATATGATCATTTTTTATTTTTGGTAACTTTATCAATCTTAAACATATTTAACAAATATAAATCAATTTAATTAAATTTCTAACATTTTACATGTAGGATCCACTCAATTTTTTTTTATTTCTATCTCTCTTCAAGTAACAAATATTTTTAATTACCTTTAAAACTCTTCATTTTTTATAAAACTAATTAATGATAATAATAAATATATATATATATTTATTCATTTGTATTATATAAAATTTTATTGTCTACAAAATAATATCTATATTGCATATATTTTATTAAGATATAATTCTAAAGATATTTAAAATACAAACAACACTACACATATAAAAAATAATAAAATATTATCATAACTTATTATTAATAACTTAATAGCCTACACTACCTTAAATACTGTGTCCCTAATTCGATGAAAATTTTGTATTTTGTGTCCCACAACCATGAATTGAACTATAGATTATTGTATACATTAGGTTCAATTTATTGATTTTTTTCTTTGTTTTTTTTTTATTTAATTTAAAATTTGTATGTGGATCCCACGTAATGAATTGAACTATGATTACTTTATATATTAGGTTCAATTTATAGATTTAATTCAGCTCCTTTCCGTTTATTATTTTGGGAGACTTGGACTAAAATCCCTGTCAGTGTATTTTGCTTGCAATTCAGTCCCCATTGTAAATTAATTGATCTGCAGTCCCTACTTTATTGATTAGATATGTTATAACTCCCTTCTTGTATTTTCTACTCAATCACCATTGTATATGCAACATGTACTTACGATTGATTAATAAATACTCCCAATTTTATAATATATACCTACATTACCTCCCGCTCTACCCCCAGTATACGATTAGATAATTCCATTTAAATACTGCGTACCTTATTTTGTGATTTTTTTTTTAAAAAAAATCACAGAAAATATGCACGATTTAAAAACTGAAACATTCCCTAACTCCCCTCACTCACTCTCTGTTCAAGCCCTAGTTCTTCGAGAAGGAAATCGTCCCTCGCGAACTCGACGACGATCAGCAGTAAGACATTTTGTTCAGCGAAATGGTGAGAAAAACCGCGAATCCGCCGCGATCCCCCACGAGGAGTTCAAAAAAGTAAGTGTCTGGTCGAACACCATTGAACATTATCGCAATAACGACAGCTACTGTGGAAAGGGTTCCTTATCTGAGGATGAGACGAACACCATTGAACATTTTCTCGCGTCATTCGCTGTCCGGTATTGCTATTCACTCTTACGGCTTTATATATTTTTCTCAATCAATGTATTTATCCGTTTGCGACTATCATGTTGTAGGGACACTGTATGGCAGCAGGGCGTCGTGTCTGTCTCGGCCGATGCCGTTTTAGAACTACTGTTTGACGAAGCTGTGAAAGGCGAAGTCATCGACGCGTACCTATATCATCTATGCAGCAATGAATATCAGCTCCAACACAATCCGCAGGTGCGGTGTGGTTGTGTGCCATGGTTCGTAGCGGTGAGTATCCTGTTTGGAATTTATACGGTTAGTATTACAAATCACATTGTTATTATTGCGTTGATTGCTGTGTTCGATTTTCAGAAAGCCGTGAACGACGCGCTATCACGACCAAGCAGGGGAGCGAAAAAGCCGAGCATCAATAAGGGTAATGTACTCGCGTTTGCCAACTCGCTGCAAGTGACCGTAGGCCAAGAGATTGCCGGAATCATGGACAAAATCCGGTCTGGGTGCCGGTACATATTTCTACCCGTACACACCCGGTTCCACTGGCATCTCTGCATACTGGATACCGTCAAACGTGTTGTGTTGGAGTGTAACTCAATGCGCGACCCCTTCGGGCAGGGGAATGCAAAGAAATTGGTACGTCTTTCGAATGATCATAATTAATTGCCTATGGGTAGGGTGAATGCCTTAACGAAAGAGTAACGTTATTTGTGCAGACGCGATTTTTATCGTTGTATATGAACGCGTCACGACTATGGCCTATGGTCAGCGACATGCCCGAGTACATTAGATGCCGACACCAGGGTGAAACGTTGGACTGTGGACCTTTAGTCTGCATGTTCGCAGAGTGTTATGCGCGGGCAGGTCCAGATGTCAATGTCGTTGGTGTCCTCGGCGAGGACTTCGGCGATGTCAAGAGCTACCGAGGCACGATTGCGGCGAGGATATTGAAAGGTCCCCCCTTCTGAAACGTAGACCCCGATGGAAAAATAGGGCAGGTTAACACATGTAATGAATTTGGATTGATTTGGGAAGTTTTTGCGTTGTGTGGCGAGGTGATGGATTTGTTGAATGTCTTCAGTTTGGATTGATCTGGGAAGTTATTGTGTTGTGTGGAGGTGATGGATTTGTTTAATGTCTTCAATTTGGATTGATCTGGGAAGTTATTGCATTGTGTATCGAGGTGATGGAATTGGTAAATGTCTTTTATGTGGATTGATTTGTCATCTTCATTATATACCTGCGTTGTGTGGTGATACCCGTTGATAGCTTTTATGTGCCTACGGAAAACTAGTATGTACTTCCATTTATATATTACATGCTCCAGTCATTTGCGTTTGTGGGACTGGTCATTTCTTTTGCACTGATCACTGAAATAGCGTTCACTTTGAATCAGTTCAACCGTGTCGGCGTTTCTCATAAAACCCTACTGGACGCCATGTTTTAATCGACCGGAGATACTGCAAGGGCTTACTCGTTAATTTAAAACAAACAATACTAAAAAAACATGATAATATTACAACAAAATATTTGTGCGGGACATAGGTGTCTGGTAATTGCGTGTGGGCCAACGTCTAGATTACAATCAACTATTTCCTGCGGAATGCTAAGCAACACGTGGTTACAGATAAGTGCTACTATACCTACAACTACGATACCTACAACTACAACACAGATGCCCGCATACGCAATCTGTGTACCCCGTTCAGCGAGTCTGGTACTTAGCTCAGTTGCATAAGTAACGGAGTCATTACTAAAAATACCCTATAGTATCTATTATGTACCTACGGAAATAGCCTTTATACTTCCGTTACCATTTCAAATGCTCTGGTGCCCTGCGGGTGGGGACTCGGCCTTTTCTCTTAAAATATTCATGAACTGATGGTAAGAGTGTATTGGCTTAACCATGGTAGCGTTTCTCGTCAACCCCATAATCTTGACATACGTGTTTTAGGCCACAGATTATACTTACATCGCTTACCCGTTAATTGAATTAGAACACAATAGAATAGACACGATAATATAACCACAATATAGTTGTGTGGCATATGGAAGTCTGGTACGTAGCTGTGTGCTGAATTTTAATCAATACTACGCCTCCAAGTTATTACACGGTAATACAATTTGAATACTGTATAAACAAAATAAAATATGGTTACTACTCGGACCGCAACCCTATATGTTGGAATCATTATTCATATACCCTCTGTAAGCTATTGCGTACTTAAAACAACCGTGACATTATACTTCAGTTGCAATTATGTATGCCCTGGTTACCTGTGGCTGGGGAAACGGTCTTTTTTTTTCTTTTCTTCAAATAGCATGTATTTACTGCTGATGGTTAAAGAAGGCATCAACAAATACTTAAGTTGTATGACACATGCAGTTGGTTAGTATGACGAGTTTAATACAACAACTATACCTCCTAGTAATAACCCAAAAATAGGATAGCATGTACTTTCAAAACAATTAGATATTACATTAACCATCCGTCCCTACAGAGCTACATAATCAAATGCCTCAGTACATGAAAAATATACCTGCAGAATATAACTATGAACCTTCACAACTTCATCATATACCTGCGTGAGAGGGCTACATACCACTTACTACTGCAAATAAGTCGACGGATCCAACCGGTTACATCCTAGAGACACAAAAAACAATTACAATATAGCTATTGAATATGTACCTACTGTCTTAATATATACTCCTGGAAGCCAAAAAGATGTACAATGAAAAAAAGGTTCGCTAATCTATTCGTTGCTTGCAACTTCTTCTATTATGTCCAAGACGCCCACAACGACCACATTTTCGTGCATTCTTTACCTGCTGGGACTCGAACCTTCGCTTCTTTGGCCGGCCTGGTTGGACAGACGACGGAGGAGGGTGAATTTGGTCCGCCTCAATTTCAACAATCACGTCCATATCATGCGTCGGTACGGGATTTATTGGCTCCTGGTACGTTTTTCTGTAGCATTCAATGCTATAGTAAAGATCGCAAAAATCATAAATTGACATACTGCATTTTTCAATGCAAGCGCAGGCATGCTTGCAGGGCAATCGGAACATTTGCCATTCTCGACAAGAGCATTTGCGCGCCTCCAAATCGACTGCGTATCTTTCATTACAATCTGTTACCTCGAATACAGTTCTAGAGGATGAACTGCACTGTAGCCGTCGAGACGCCATGTACGATAGTGCCAACTTGCTCTCCTGTTTTGGACAGAGCCTTCCGTGCATTATCTCCGACTTTTCGCGGCGTTCATTCATCATTACCATCACTTGCCTTCTAATGGTATCCAACATCCCAACGAATGGCATTGACCTCGCGGACCTCACCCAACTATTCCATGACTCAGCAATGTTATTATTTATTATTCCCCAACGAGTGCCTCTGAATAGTGAATTTGCCCAACATTCTGGGTGTGATTGGGTAATGAAGTCCCTGGCCAATGGCATTGATTCGACCACAGAACTAATGTGGTTTTCGAAATCTCTCCTCAACGGAGCATAGGCGGCCTTATTGAAGACAGCGGTCCATCGCTTCTTATTATGCATTGGGTATCTCCGCATAACCTAAAAAAAAGACATTTTATGGCTGATCATAACCAGTGATGTTCATTACAAATTACTATTGACGTACATATACCTGGGTACGGAAGTTGTCCACTAAGTGTCGGAGACAGTACGCATGATGTGCTCCGGGAAAGACGCACGAGATTGACTTTAGTAAACCCGAGTGCCGATCCGAGAAGAATGTGTACTGTTTCCAATCCGTGCGTCCCTCACATTCTAAAACAGATCGCAGCTTCCAGCAAAACCACTCCCAATTTTCATCATTTTCCGTAGACACAGCTGCAAGTCAACAAATTAGAACACAAATAACTACAAAGGTTTCCAACGTATAAGGGTACATACGTGCCTAAAGAGAGCATGGAAAACAGCATACACGAACACCTATACCCAGCATTCTAACAAAATGACAACTGTAGCTAATATCAAATTACGTACCAGAAAATGCTAAAGTAAACATCCCATCATCCCCATCCACTGCAATTGCACTTAGCAGACACCCTTTGTGTTTGTTTTTTATATGTGTCCCATCAAGAAAGAGTAGGGGCCTGCAACCCCTCAAAAAACCCAGCCGGCATGCACCTAAACAAACAAAAAGGCGTTGGAAACGTTTGGTTGCCTGCTCAACTTCGCAGTCTATAATACTTCCCGGATTTGACTCCCGAAGTGCATGACAGTACCACGGAAGTTGTGAGAAACTGTCTCTACCTCCACCATTAATTGCCCTTATCGCATTCTCTTTGCCACGCCATGCTTTATGATATTTCACGTCAATCCCATAATCTGTTTGGATATGCTCCCGGATGTCGGATGCCTTATACGCTGGCATAGAACGTATCTTATCTTTGTACACCTCAGAAATCCAGTTCGCATCGGCTGCTGGATGATCTCTTGATTGCAATAGACTCATAGTACATGTGTGATGTAAATTGCACTTACGAATGCTGAATGATGCATCACGAGCATGGAAGGATGCATAAATACGCCAACCACAGCCTTTGTCGATGCACACCGCAATAATTTTGCTCGAATCATTCTTTTGGTACCTGAAGTGTTTCTGAGTGGCAATAGAATAATTCTTCAGTAACTTTCTAAACTCCTGCGGTCCCTTGAATGTCTGCCCTTCCCCGACAATGCATCTCTGCATTGCAATTAGACTAGTACTTTCGTCGGGAATAAAGATACCATCGGCGCAATCTTCGTTCAATCCAGAACATTCGGCCTCACCCCTACATTACAAATACAATAATAAGAATGAAAATTATATCAGATGTAAGTAGTTCTAATTTTATATGGTAATAGATATTTTCAGAGTAAAGGGAAAAACATGGGTACCCATCTTACTCGACCGAGTATGTCCACGGTGTCTATGGTTACCTACCGTGTCATCCAGGGTATTTAAAAGAACAACTGCATCTATTCACCGCAGCAGGCTACGTGATGCAGTAAATGCCATGGGCTACAGAAATTTCAACGCATCGATCATGGTACACCTACCTAAACCGGATTGCTAGAGGATATTGACAGTGGCGTGTGAAGAAGGAGTGAAAATCGTTAAATACCTTCAAGACGTTATATCCCCACTACATATCTTTACAATCTCTTCAGTGGTTCGTTCTGCACCGCGCTACTACAAAATCGCGGAGGTGGATACTTACTACCTACAAACAACATCGCAACAATATACCACGGTATTGTTGTATGCCAATATCATGAAAGAATTATTACTAACGTAACCTATAAACAATATGTTTTTAGATGTGTTGAACATGACATTATAAGCGCTTACAGACTGCATTCTTACATACTGCATTATAAGTGCTTACAGACTGCATTCTTTCATAAGGAACAATTGTGACTGCATTCTATAACAAAGTTTAATAAAGACTACTTAATTACAAATGATGAGTAACGTACCTGCGTCCAACCGTGCTTCGGAGAGGCACGCTCTGGTGCTCGCTTCTGCACCGTGCAATCATATCCACAAACATTACCTTTAACAAGATATGCATTCTCCACATATTTGCGACATCATCGTCACACAATAACGTCACGTAGCTTTTCTGAATAGGTGCAATATATTGGAGTTTTACCGCCTCAATACTCACTTTATTCCATCTTTTCGATATATTCCGGTAAAGATCCTCCAGCGTGGTGCCCTCTTCTAAACGAATTACATGATGCTCACCTTCGTAGGAACATATAATTAATAATTTCAGACTACTTTGCTCCATGTCCATCGGAACCTAGCGATCCAACCGATGAACGTATGAACTATATTAGGTCGTATGGGCGATTAGATAATCTTACACAAAATACACTAAAATCATATGTTCTTACGGAATTCTAGTAATGTCTTGATCCTCAATAGCAACAAATTACCCATTTCACAAAATAAATATTACCCTTAAACCCTAAATAGCAACAAAATTTATTATCAAAATCACCCAAGATAATACCCAAACATTTTCTTCCAGATAATAATTTTCCAACTAAGATATCGATACAAAAACACACCTGGTACATCTAATTTCGCCGGAGAACAAGAAAGACGGGCCAGGGAACCGGTGACAGCCTTCGGTAGTTCTTCGACCGAATCAATCGACACAACACACTTGGTACATCTAATTTCACCGGAGACCAAGAAATACGGGCCACGGAACCGGTGACAGCCTTCGGTAGTTCTTCGACCGAATCAACCGACTGCCGACGACAGGGAACCGGAACAGGATTCGGAGAGTGCCCTAGGAAATTTTTCAATCGAACCAGACAAGAAGCTTACCTGTGCGGGATGTGGCTTTCGAGCTCACGGAAGAGGACAACGGCTTCACAAGAATTTTTTGCGCGAAAAGAAACAGAATGAAGAGAAATACGATTAGGGAGGAAGAAGAAGGAAGAAGGAAAAAGGGGGGAGTGCAGAGCAAGTTTTTATCTTTAGGGACTGAATCCCAAATGATAAATGGACAGAGGGATTTTTGCCCAATTGTCCGTAAATGGAGTTTAAAAAATATGGCTTCATTTTATTAGCTTTTTAATAAGGCTTTTGGATTAGTTTTAACTTTTAAAAATAAATTTATTATTGTTTTATTTATAATAATAATAATAATAAAATGTTTTTTATGCAATATTTTTATTTTTATTCTTCAAACATAAATATAGAATAATTAATTATTTTTAATAAATATTTGAGTAGTGATACAGTTATTTTTAAAAAAAAAATTAATAAAAATTTAGAATGCATATAAATATTTTAAATATTATTTTTTAATAAAATACATATAATATTATCATCATTTTGTAGTGAGATTTAAAAAATATATTTATTTATTTATGACATAAAATAATTTTATAAAAGATAAAATTTTAAATATAAATTAAAAAAAAAATTATTTATGAAAAAAAAAATGATAGAATAAAAAAGATTTTGGGTAGATTTTACGATGTTATGAATTTGTTCTTTAAATAGAATAAAATTAACATTATTCACTTGGTACAATTTTCAATAAAAATACACAATATTTTCACATGAAACGTAACGGTAGACATTAAAAATTAAATGCCTAAATTAAATTAATATCATGTATTTCGGAAGAAAATAAAATTTCAATAAAATAAATATATAGTATTTGATTATGCAACCATTAATGCAAAAATCTGTTTAAAATGAAAGATATTGTACAAATATTACGCGCATAAATAGAGTCATAATAATTTTGGTAGCAAAATAAATTCATCTTGTTAATAAAGAAAGTATATAAATTAATATTTTCTGAAAAAAAACAATGATATAAAGATCTTGGCAAGAAAGGAAGGTGCACAATCAAATTCATAAAAAATTGACAACGGCATCTGATGGAAAATGAAGTATTATAAAATCTTCTTATTGGTCAATTAAGACGTGTCACGTGGCATCATTTTACAAGGAAGCCGAGGTCACCCATCCCCTATAAATAGGAGTCATGGCCGATTCATTTAACACATCGAAGTTACATCGAGAATTCAAGCAAATGGGTAAGTCTCTAAAATTCTCTCTGTATTGTTCTTCATGTTATTCGTGTCCTTTGAAACGTTCTTCGTCAAAAGTCATTGATTTGGACAAATGATCTAATATTGGTTGACGAATCGATGAAGTTAACGTTCTTCGTTGTATGTCTAAGCCAGAGGAATGATCAAAGCTCCAAAAGTCGTTGAGGAATTCGTTAAAGCTAACGAAGAGCATCCAAAGTTCATCCCAAAGCGTCAAGGTATTTATCGTCTTTTTCACCAAAGTATCAATCAGGCCCTCTTCGATCCAAAAGTCAAAGAGACACGCCGTCAATAGTGTTATGCAGCACCAAATTCACCTCTTCAAGGATCAAAATTTTAAAAGCCATTGAAGAATCCATCAAAGCTAAGGAAGAGCATCCAAAATTCATCCCAAAGCTTCGAGGTGTTCATTGCGTTTTTCACCAAGGTATCAACTCGGCCCTCTTCGATCCAAAAGTCAAAAGGACACGCCGCGAAAAGTGTTATGGAGCACCAAATCTACCTCTTCAATGATCAAAGCTCCAAAAGCCTTTGAAGAATCCATCAAAGCCAAGAAAGAGCATCCAAAGTTCATCTCAAAGCTTCAAAGTGTTCATCGCGTTCTTAACCAAAGTATTAATTCGGCCCTCTTCAATCCAAAAATCAAAGCGACATGCCGCCAAAAGTGTAATGGAGCACCAAATCTACCTCTTCAAGGATCAAAGCTCCAAATGCCGTTGAAGAATCCATCAAAGCCAAGAAAGAGCATCTACGGTTCATCTTAAAGCTTCAAAGTGTTCATCGCGTTCTTCACCAAAGTATCAACTCGGCACTCTTCGATCCAAAAGTCAAAAGGACATGCCGCCAAAAGTGTTATGGAGCACCAAATCCACCTTTTCAAGGATCAAAGCTTCAAATGCCATTGAAGAATCCATCAAAGCCAAGAAAGAGCATCCAAAGTTCATCTCAAAGCTTCAAGGTGTTCATCGCGTTCTTCACCAAAGCATCAACCAGGCCCTATTCGATCCAAAAGTCAAATGGACACGCCGCCAAAAGAGTTATGGAGCAACGAATATACCTCCTCAAATATCAAAGCTGCAAATCATCCAAAGAAGACATCAAATCCAAAACTGATGATCAAATCGCTGATTTAGATATTATGACCTGCTTTAAATTCAAATCAAATATAATTTTGTACAAATTTTGTATTTACTAAAAATAATATAATTTTTTGTCCACAATAATATCAAAATACTATTTAAATAAAAATTTAAATCGACACTATATTTCAAATCAACATCAAACCTCAAAGAAATTCAATTAAGTTAATTGATATGAGAGATAGAAATAAAAATTTCAATGGTAAATTGTTAGAAATTTAATTTAATTTATTTATATTTATTAAGTATATTACTATTGGTAAATTTATTAAAAATATAAATAGTGTTAATTATTATTAACAAACTAAATTTAAAAAATAAAAAATAAACCTTTCAAACTGTTATAGAACGAACAAACTATAATACTATTACTAAAAGTAATTAATGTATATAATTTTTAAAATTAAAATTTAAAAATATAATTCTATTTTTATTTTATATGCTTATATTTAAATTTAAGAATATAATTGAAATATGAACATTAAAATATATAAACTAACATAAAATTTTGAAATTTAAAATGTATATAAATATATATATATATATTATCTATGTGCATTAATAATTTTTTTATTTGGTTTTTCAATGTGGATTTAAAATAAAATTATATTTTATAGATATGTAATGTAATCAAGTAACGTATATTCATTTTATCCTCGTAAAGTAACATGAAGAAGTAAAAAATAGAAGAATTTTTATATTTAGTTAAAAGTTACTTTAGAAAAAAATTAAAAATGAGAGTTTTGATTTGTATATATTAAAATGATAAATGAAAAAAAAAAAAAAAACACTAGTTGACGGAGAAAATTAGAGCATTTGTCACATTTTCTGTTTCATCTATCATAATAATTATAGTTTAAACGCACATATTATATTTTTTAAGAACTTATTAAGTCTAGTAAAAATAATTTTAAAAAATTAAGTAATTTACCATTATTCAAAATTTTAAAATTTACAATTTTATAATTTTGAATTTATCTATACAAATATAGTTTTAATTTATTTTAAAATATTACACACGTCTATATATTTTTCAATCAATTTTTACATATATATATATAAATCCAATTTCAATATTAATTTTTTTTTTTAAAAAAGTAATTTCTTCAATTAGCTCTTTAACAAAACTATCAAAAATAAAAAATTCTTCAAATAATACATTAATCCAACTTTATTTCAATATTTAAATTTTTGAATATCAATAATCTCACAAATTCAAATAATTTTACTATTCAAAATATTAATAAAATTATATAATATTATCAAATTTTATATAAATTAATACTTTTAAATTAAATTAAAACACAATATTATTATATAATAAATATTATTTTTTATAAAATATATAAAACTAAATTATTACTATAAATTTTAAAAAATTGTAAAGATAATGCGGTGATAATAGGATAACGAAGTAATTTAAATATTGATGTGAATATGATGTTTATAATAATAATAATAAAAATAAAATAGAGACATTGACTACAATCAATACGTATTGTTCATTTTCATTCGCCCTTCTGTCGAAGTGGATGTAGATTGTACATATTGTCGATTATCCAATCCTTAAGCGAGGAATGTCTCACCGCTCGATCTACAAGGGTTTTGAATCGTAACTATATACTTTTGGTCATAAGGATTTGAAGACTTACAAGATCTTGTCTAAGAGAAAAATAAAATTAAAATAAAATTGTATTATTATGATCAAGGGCGGACGCACGCCCCTCTTGCCCTTACCCCACTCCTTTACTTTATATATGTATATATATAATACTTCTTTCGTCCAATATAATTTGTCTATATTTTCTATTTTTGTCTGTTTCATATAATTTGTCATTTTTTTTTAAAAAATATGATTATAAATTTTGATCATATTTTAAATTTATATTTACAATTTTTCTTAATCTTAATTAAACTATTTAGTTATCATAATCTAATTTATAATTATTTTCACTATCCAATAATTATTTTTACTAATTCACTTTTCAATTACTTACTAATTATAATTTTTCTAAATTTTCGTATCTATAGTTATAAGTTCATTATATGGGACGGAAGTAGTAATTTGGCCTTCTTGTTATATATATATATATATATATATATAAAATGTGGCCTTCTTTCTTTATTTCATTCTTTTATTAATATAAAAAGAAATATTTATAATACAGTATATAACTATTATTATTGTATAGTTGTTATTTGTATTTATTTTCTTACAAAATATAATAATCAGAATGATAATTTTTTCGAATAACAAATAAATAGTTATAAATAAAATATTATTTTATAAATTTTAAAATTAATCCCCCATCTTCGAATATAATCCTAGTCTTCCACTCTTCGAGTCTATCAAAAGATTAAGCTTTAAAACCTGCATTTTATTAAAATTTCAAAATGTTCTTTGTCAATAGTCTAGTGTTCATCCATACCTCTAACAATCATGATACCCGACTTTACACTATGTTTCATTAAATTTATTTTTTCTTTTACATTATATCATTAAGGAATTATTTCTCATAACAAAATATCAATTTTATTTTTTTTAGTAACACTACTATCTACTTAACATCACAAATATTTTTCAAATTTATAATATATTACGATGTCATTATTTTTATATCATATAATACTAATAAAGTTATTTTAATCTTTTTATATTTATTTTATAATATTTCAATATAATACTAATATTTTTAAAACTTCGGACAAAAAACAAATGGATAGGACGGACGGAGTAATAAATAAGCAATATGATAAATAAAAATAATACTTGCAAATTGGTTGCCGTAAGTGAAAAAATAGTAATAAATTAATTATTAAATACTAAAATAAAAATAATAAAATTATAAATAATAAAAATTATACTTCATTGGATCCAATTGAAAGTACTTTTTTACCAATTTTTACTTCAAAGTATCATTTAAAAAAAATTATCATACACTACTAACAAAATATCATTTATAAAATGACAAATATACAATTACTTTAGGACAAAAATATCAGAATTCTTATACATTTCTACTAATTATTAATTTATTATTATTTTTTAATTTATTACTAAACTACATAAGAGATCTATGCATAATTATATCTAAATGAAAAGTATTTATCTAAATTTATTCTTTTTTTTTATATAAATTTTATTTAAGTAAAAATAAACAATCTTTTTTTTTTTTAACTTTAAAAATTTATTTTTACTTATTATTATTATTATTTAAACTTGCGGACTTTTAGGGTGCGTTTGTTTGAGAGTTTAAATTTTGTTTAGAATTTGAAAAGTAAAACTTTGGAATTGAAATGATTGTACTATAGGATATAAAATAAGCATGTTTGATTTGATATTTTGATTATAAAATTAATTTTTAATATAATATAAAAAATAAAAAATTAAGTGTTTGATTTGATATTTAAAAAAAAAAAAAAAATTGTTTTGATGAACATTAAAAATCTTATAAATTTGATGCCCTCCTTCCTCATCTCAGCCCACGCAGTCCGAAACCCTAAGCCCCAAAATCTTCCATAGTTGCCGATCAGACCAGCCATGGCTCAAGAGCAGCTCGTCCTTGGCGGCACCCTGCGCGGCCACACCGACTGGATCACCGCAATCGCCATTCCCATCGACAATGCCGACATGATCGTCACGTCCTCCCGTGACAGATCCCTCATCGTCTGGTCTCTCACCAAAGAGGACAGAGACTACGGCGTCCCCCGCCGCCGCCTCGCCGGCCACAAACATTTTGTGCAGGACGTAGTCCTCTCGTCCGACAGCCAATTCGCGCTCTCCGCCTCCTGGGACGGCGAGCTCCGCCTCTGGGACTTGCAAACCGGAAACACCTGTCGCCGGTTCGTCGGCCATACCAGAGACGTTCTCTCCGTCGCCTTTTCTGCCGACAATCGTCAGATTGTTTACCCTCATCGTCTGGTCTCTCACCAAAGAGGACAGAGACTACGGCGTCCCCCGCCGCCGCCTCGCCGGCCACAAACATTTTGTGCAGGACGTAGTCCTCTCGTCCGACAGCCAATTCGCGCTCTCCGCCTCCTGGGACGGCGAGCTCCGCCTCTGGGACTTGCAAACCGGAAACACCTGTCGCCGGTTCGTCGGCCATACCAGAGACGTTCTCTCCGTCGCCTTTTCTGCCGACAATCGTCAGATTGTGTCGGCGTCTCGGGACAAGACAATCAAGCTCTGGAACACGCTCGGTGAATGCAAATACACCATTCAGGACGTGGGTGCGCACACCGATTGGGTTTCCTGCGTCAGATTTGCTCCGCATGCGCAAGAACCGACGATTATTTCCGGCTCATGGGATAGAACTGTGAAGATTTGGCATTTGGCCACCTGTACGGTGCGGTCGACTCTATCCGGCCACAGTGCCTATGTGAACACGGTGGCTGTTTCTCGGGACGGCTCGTTGTGCGCTAGTGGCGGGAAAGATGGGATGATACTGCTCTGGGATTTGGCTGAGGATAAGAAGCTCTATTCTCTGGATGCTGGATCCATCATCCACGCCCTCTGCTTCAGCCCTAATAGGTATTGGCTGTCCGCCGCCACTGAATCCGGAATTAAGATTTGGGATTTGGAAAGCAAGAGCTTGGTGGTGGATCTGAATGTTGATTTGAAGCAGGAGTGTGAAATGGACGCCGAAGAGGCCGTCCAGACATCTGCAGTGAAGATCAAGGTAGGTTGATTTGAATTTTGAACCCTCTTTGTTATTTTATAATTTTGCTCATTGATATTGATCTAACATTATATTTCTTTATTATTTGTGATTAGAAAAATTGATCTTAGGGTGTTTAGATTCTGGTGCTGTTATTTGCTAAAATTTGGAACTTTAGATTTTGTAATTAGACTAGTAAAATTGATTGAAGATGAGACTGCTTTTGCTGCGTATGTTCGATCTTTTAGGATATAGTAAGCTGCTGTTTATTCTCTCCATTGTTCTTACTTGTGCTTACTTGTGTCTTGCTGCTGCAGGTGATATACTGCACTTGTCTCAATTGGAGTGCCGATGGAAGCACCCTGTTCAGTGGTTACACAGACGGTGTTGTCCGAGTTTGGACCATTGGCCGATACTAAAATGGCGTGACACTGGTTTCAAATAATCTCCTATTAGGTTTAGGAGCAATTTTGTAGTTTTTAGTTCGAATGCTGAAAAGTTTTGATTAATTTATAGTTTTGGCTTTTTGTGTTAATAAATTCTTTTGATCGAAGCAGCATTGGTTCTTTCTTTTGTCTTGTTGATATATAATAAACTAGTTTTAAATATAATGCGACAGGTAAGATTTGGAGGGGTCGGAACATTTGAATTGAGGCATCGGGGTTATTTGAATTTGAATCCGAGGCATTGGGGCATTGGTTATACAGGCTCTAAGGTGTTAGCATTTATACTTCATTTTTTTGAGAATAGGACATTATTTAAATTTTAAGAATATTACATTAAATTCTAAAAAGTACTACTTTTTTTAAGAATAAGACATTATTTAAATTTTAAGAATATTACATTAAATTCTAAAAAGTACTATTTTTTGAGAATAGGACATTATTTAACTTTTAAGAATATTACATTAAATTCTAAAAAGTACTTTGTATTATTTTTGATGAGTTTGGAAAAATTTTAATTCAAGTTTGATATTAAAATAATGTATAATTGAGATATTTTGTAAAAAAAAAAAGTTATAATATTTTATTTTTTTAGACACAGAATTCAAATATTAGAAACCTGGCCGACATACTTCTTTTTTTTTTTATTCTTTTCTTTTTTTTTTTTTTTTTTTTTTTAATAAAATTGACATGGCCTAGCCCACCACAGAACTTGCTAGAGACCAGCCTAAACCAATTCGGCTTATGGGCCGGGTTGACTAACATTGTATATTTCGGCCCGGCCCAGTTTGGTCCAAAACCATACTTATTTTATTTGGATTTTGTTGAAATAGGTCTGTGCAATTAGCCTCGGATGGTTTGGGCCGGGCCGGCCTATCCATTCTTGGCCCGTCGAACCAGTACATGTATTGTGTGAATGTAAATGGTTTTGGGAGGGATTAGTGTGTTGATTGAAAAAGATATTCTCCTTCCGTTTCAAATAAGATACAACATTTGCTTTTGGCACGGATTTTTAGGTAGGTAGTATTAAGTAAGATAATTTAGAAATTAGTTGATGTGATGGAGAGAGAAATATATATTTTATTTTTTTATTTAGATGATGCAAGGGGATAAAGTGTGTGGTAGAAATTAAGCATAATTAATTATTTCCTAGAAATATTGCAGGTGTTTGGGACATACCAAAAAGAAAATGTTGCAGAGTGTTTGGGACAGAGGAAGTATAATTTAATTACATATTATTTGGATCTTCATATAATATGATATTAATAATGTCTATTTAAATTTATATTTATGAGCGAATATTATAGTTTTAAAAAAAATTACACATGTTCTTTAAAAAAAAAATAATAATAATTTGACAATAATGTTTTTATTTATTTTTTAATTTCTAATTAAATAATATAATTAAGTAACTAAGTGTTAAACTCATATTTATTTGTTTTATTTTCAAAATTTTATTTTTATTGTTTATTAAAAATAACACACTCCTCTTATTAATGTGATATTTTGAATTACGCCAGATTATATATATTTATATTATTGATTATCTAATTACAAAGTAATAATTTTATTAAATACTTCACTTTTTTTTTTTTCTACAAATAGTCTTATTTTATCATCACATGATTACTTTTACAGCTAAAAATAATACCAAAATTGACTTTAAACCACTTTTAACTCCCTGTTAATGTTGAAATACTATTGTTTTTTAAACTCCATAAAAAACAATATATATTTAATAGCTGGATAGAAAAAATATAATACTATTATTTTGGTAAATTTTTTCATAATATTTCCATTTTTATTTTTTTACATATTTTACTTTAGTATTAAAATATTAAAATTATTTTAATTTTCTGCTAAATTTATATCATTTTACAGACCTAATAAAAGTTATTTTAATAATTTCTACTTTATTCATATCATATATTAATATTCATATAATACTAATATATATAAAACTGGTAGGAAAAAGTAAATGAATATTTATTAAGGGTGTGTTTGTTTGGAAGATTGAATTTAAATCCAACTATTCATCCAATTTTTTTCCACAAAAAATATCAAATCAAAAACTTATTTTTTATTTTTTATAGTATACTAAAAATCAATTTTACATTCAAAACATTACATTAACGCCTATTTATATCACATCATATAACTATTCAAATTTAAAATTTTTACTATTCAAATTACATTCTAAAATCTAAACTCTCAAACAAACACACCCTAAGAGCACATAGACAATATTAAAAGATAAAAATAATACGGACAATTGGGCAAAAATCCCTCTGTCCATTTATCATTTGGGATTCAGTCCCTAAAGATAAAAACTTGCTCTGCACTCCCCCCTTTTTCCTTCTTCCTTCTTCTTCCTCCCTAATCGTATTTCTCTTCTCCCCTCCATTTATTAGCGCCTTGAAATTGGAATGGAAAATCAAAAAGAAAATTAAATATGTACGACATGGGCGAATGGTAATGGGCCTCATACCAAACCCTAATTATATATATATATCTATGCTATTCTCCTCCCTCATTTCTGCTCCGCCGCCGCAGAAACCCTATTTGCAAATCCTCCATTGTAGCTGATCGAGAAACAGAGCAGCCATGGCTCAAGAGCAGCTCGTCCTTCGCGGCACCATGCGCGCCCACACCGATTGGGTCACCGCCATCGCCACCCCAATCGACAATTCCGACATGATCGTGACATCCTCCCGCGACAAATCCATCATCCTCTGGTCTCTCACCAAGGAGGACAGAAACTACGGTGTCGCCCGCCGCCGCCTGACCGGCCACGGCCACTTTGTTCAGGACGTCGTCCTCTCGTCCGACGGCCAATTCGCGCTCTCCGGCTCCTGGGACGGCGAGCTCCGTCTCTGGGACTTGCAGACCGGAAAGACAACTCGCCGCTTCGTCGGCCACGCCAAGGACGTCCTCTCCGTCGCCTTCTCCGTCGACAATCGCCAGATCGTGTCGGCGTCTCGCGACAAGACGATTAAGCTCTGGAACACGCTCGGTGAGTGCAAATACACCATTCAGGACGCGGATGGGCACACCGATTGGGTTTCCTGCGTGAGATTCTCGCCGAATACTCAGCAGCCGACGATTGTGTCCGGCTCGTGGGATAGAACTGTGAAGATTTGGAATTTGACCAACTGTAAGCTCCGGTCGACTTTAGCAGGCCACAGTGGCTATGTGAACACGGTGGCTGTGTCTCCCGACGGTTCGTTGTGTGCTAGTGGCGGGAAAGATGGAGTGATTCTGCTCTGGGATTTGGCTGAGGGTAAGAAGCTTTATTCTCTGGATGCAGGCTCCATCATTCACGCTCTCTGCTTTAGCCCTAATAGGTACTGGCTGTGTGCGGCCACTGAATCCGGCATTAAGATTTGGGATTTGGAAAGCAAGAGCGTGGTGGTGGATCTGAAGGTTGATCTGAAGCAGGAGAGTGAAATGGCTGCTGAGGAGGCTGTCCAGGCGTCTTCAGCAAAGAACAAGGTAAGATTGTTTATGTTTTTGTTTATTGATATTGATCTAAAATTATATTCCTTTATTATTTTTTAGTAGAAAGATTGATCTTAGGGTGAAATTCGTGTAATTGGTATTGTAATATAGATTGATGCATTGCCATAAGTTTGATATTAACTTATTGTTTTGTTTTTTGTTTTGATCTTTTATCCTATTTTGTTTGTTTGTTTGTGTTTATACTGACAACTGTTCGTTGATATGTTGATATCTTCTTGAGAGCATGTGTGCAATACATGTACAGCATAACTGTCTCTGTGTATATTTTCTTCTTGTTGGTATCTCCGATTTTGTCGCAAGCTGTGTCATATTTGGGTAATGGCGGAGGCCAATTACCCACAAATCTTTATTACCCCCGTTGTATCCCTCAACCTGATTATTCACCATTGATTTGAAAGCTGTCCGACATTGCTGTTATGAATTAAGTGGTGCATCATTTCTTTTCTTGAAAGTGTACACTGTTCCTTCCCTAAATATGTGTTTGGGACTCTGTAATTGTGCTTTTCAAGTCAGGGAAATCGATTGAATGTTTACTGTTCAAATTATTCCCTGATGAAAAAAGCTTTTGGTTGAAGCATGCAGATTCGCAACAAATGGTAAGATGATTGATCGTCTTCATTGTTCTTACTTGTGTTTTGTGCTGCTGCAGGTGATATACTGCACCTGTCTCAACTGGAGTGCCGATGGAAGCACCTTGTTCAGCGGATACACAGATGGTGTTGTCCGAGTTTGGGCCATTGGTCGCTACTAATGGGATTTCATAGTTGTTGAATTTGCTGCTATTAGGTATGATCCTATGATAAACTTGGAGGAATTCTGAACTCTCTTGTTTCTCGGTTGTTGTGCTTCTCTGTCGACTTTATTATGTGTAATGCTTGCAAAAGTTTTGGTTAATTTATAGATTCATCTTGGTGCAATCTGCAATCCGGCAAAAATTTATTTGTGATTCTTCTCTTTATTTTTGTGGTAGAAAATTATATTGATCAATGCAGCCAACTATGTTATTTTAACTTCCAAGTTTCGATTAAATTGCTTGAACAATTTGGTTAGAGGATTAGAAGCAACTAGCCAGCCAGCCTTGTTTAAAATGATCTTTGTAGGGAAAGGGACTAAAATGTCTGAATGGTTTTTCAATTTAATTTATTTTTAGCATAATATAAAAAATAAAAATATGTATTTGATTTGATGTTTTTTTTTTTTGGAAAATTTAGTGAATATTAGAATTTCTGTAAAATATGCCAAACAAACCCTTAGTATGCTTTTGGCTGTTTAACAACTGTTTTTGCCTGTTTCATCTAAATGTATATATTTTTTATTAGAGTAAAAATTAATTTATGTTAATGTTGAATACAGTTATTAATTTGTATTTTATTATTTGATGGCTCAAGAATATATTTGCAATGTTTAAAAATATATTGGCAAAAATAAAATCTAGCTCAACAAAATTATTTTGAAAAATAAGCATCGAATATTGTATGGATTGGGCCCACCCTAAAACTTTGGATTGATCTGATAAATGGGCTTAGGTAAATGAGTCGAGTCTTGCTTGAAGTTTGAGTATATTGGGATCTATTGCTATTTCTTTTTGCTATAGATCTTGAATTTAAATTTAAATAGTAGTAATTGAATGTGAATATTTTTGTAAGAATATATATATTTTAAAAAAATATTCCCTTCGTCCCAAATATCCTGCAATATTTTTTTGGTATGTTTCAAACACTAATCTTTACTCAATATTCTATCCTCTCACATTATCCAAATAAAAAAATAAAATATATATTTTTCTTTTCATAAAATCACCTGATTTTTAAATTATCCCACTTAGTACTGTTCACCTAAAAACCTGTGTCAAATTATTCTACTTAGTACTACTCACCTAACAACCTGTGCCAAAAGCAAATATTGCACCTTGTTTGGGACGGAAGGAGTACTATATATTGCATAGTTAATAAGTTGAAAAAAATAAAACCTCAAAGCATATCCTTAGACCTTATATTAGTTTAAATGAAAAATAAAAGGAATATATAATAACATATTTGCATGCTGATTATAAGGTTCCATTAATGTCTATTGAAAGACATTATTAAATAAATGATAGTGATATTTTCTAGAGAAAATAAAAAAATTAGATTATTGCATTTTTATACTTCCTACGTCTCAATACAATAATATTTTTGTTGTCTCAAGACAATAGTCTCATTTCTATAAATAATTATATCAGTATAAAACTACATTTATTTTTTCATTATTATCACACAATTGTCATTATTTTTTACACTAATATACTCACAATGACAAAAAAGTCTTTTATCCGTACTTTTTGCTCACTATCACTATTCTTTAAATTTCGTGTCAAATACAGTCCAACTATAGTTGTGGAATGGAGAAAGTGGTAATTAGGGTGTAAAAATAAACGTTTCAAACATGCAATATATATATTCTTAAAACTATATTAGAGTATCTATTCAATGAATTTATTATTTAAGAATATATATATAAAATCGAATAAAAATATTTGTGTTATTGTACAAATTTTGAAAATTCCAACGCATAATTGGACAATGCAAGTGGTGGATATCAAAATTTTCGATTAACTATTGGATATCGTCAAACATTGAAAAAAAACTTAAAATTTTAAAAATTGGGCTTATTATTTAGTGTTTTGATTTGCATATTTATTATTATTTTTTAAATATAAGATATTGAGAATGATAATACGATAAATAATATTTTATATTGAATATTTACTTTTGAGGAGAGATAATATATATATATATGTGGAGAAAAAAGTGTTAGTTTTGTTTAGTGTTTTGATTTGAATTTATTTTTTTGATATAAGATATAAACAAACCTACCTAGCATAAAATTTCATGTTGGATTGTCGGATGCTCGCAAGTGGAGGTATACGAAACGGGGACAGTGGGACTTGAACTTGAAATTTAGCTTAGGGCCCCGATATTATGTCGGATGTGCAGAATGATTGTCTCACTTAAATTTTAAACTGTTAGGAAAGGAAGCACAACAATTAATTATTTATCCGCAAACGGGAATCTCCAATACACATTTTTCCAAAAAAAATATACCTACCTCCATCCGGCTCTAAGAATCTCATTTATTTTTTAGGTGTTAATATTTGAATATTAATTATTATATCAAACGTAGTATAAATTAAGAGAAAATGGAAAAAGTCCTTTTATTAGTGTTTTATAATACTAATAGAAACACATTTGTAAAAAAATTTATATAAATATAAAAATATTTTTAATGTTAATTACAATAATACAAAATGTAATGTGACCGTTAGAGGCGAAACGAAGGGAATATATTACAAATATTTATTATATTTATATTTACACAATTTCCTATACCTTCACGTAGAAAAAAGCTCTTCAAACTAAAATACGAAACAGTTTATTCCATCAAATTTTCTTTTTTAAAAAAATATTAAATAAAATCTTTCTCATTTTTATTTTAATTGAGATATTTTGTTAGTGAAACACTATTTAAAGAAATAAAGTTTAGTGAATTAATAATAATTAAAATATTTTATTATAGGTAGATTCGTATTTTAAAAATAAATAATATATGATTTAATTTAAGATATATATTTAAATAATTTAAAATTATATAAGTTTGTAATGAATAAAATTTTATATAATATTAATAAATAAATAAATATATATATTTATTTATGACTATCGTAAATTAATTTTATAAATTTTTTTAAATATAGATAAAATATTTATTTATTAAAAACATATAAAAAAAAAGAAATTTTGAATGGTTTTATATAATGTATATATTTCTAAAAAAATTATAATATTTTAAAATAGAAATATGTTTATTAAAATATGACAAATTAAAAAGGAAAACATGTCAATTAATTTGAGACAAAATGAGTACTCTTTTATATATATATATATTTATTTTTTATATTATATTAAAAATTAATTTTATATTCAAAATATAAAATTAATATTTATTTATATTGTATCACATTATTATTCAAATTCAAATTTTTTAACATTCAAAATCCAAACATACATCTATATACAATAATAGGCTTATATTTGTAAGAATTGAGTATTAAATCGAAACCATAAAAACTCAAAAAAAAAAAGTGAGGAATTGTTTTCATACTCATTCAAAAATCTATACTTTATTAATTATAATGTATAAATTTGTTTCTATAAAATCTCTATATTAATATATATACTAGGAAAATACAATATAATTCATTTTATACTATGTTTTTATTTGTACGATTTTGATTTTAAATACTCCCTCCGTCTCATAACTAAATATTCATTTATTTTTTGCACGTAGTTTTAAAAATATTAATATTATATTGGGATATAGTAAGAATAAAGTAGAATTGACTAAAATAACCTTATTAGTATGTGTGATATAAAAGTAATGACATTTGCGTAATATATTTTAAGTTGTAAGGGTATTTGTAATGTTAGGTAGATAGCACGATTACTAAAAAAAGAAATAGATACTTTTTTATGGGACGGACTAAAATGAAAAATAGATACTTTGTTATGGGACGGAGGGAGTAGTAAAATTTGAATTGAAATAATTATTTAATATAATATAAATATGTATTGCTATAATATTTTGAATGTAAAATTAAATTTTAATGTAATATAATAAATAAAAAACAAATTTTTAATTTGATATTTTTTTTAGAAAAAAATTAAAATAGTAAAATCGAATGTAAAATCTTACAAGTAAACAAATTTTACACCCATGATCAATAACAATAAAATATATTTCTAATCAATTTTTTCATTAGAGATAACTATATTGAATTTGTTATGCTACAATTAATCAATAATAATACCAGAACCTATATTCACAAAATAAATTCAATATCCGCATATTTGAAATTGTAAAAATGCGACTCCAATATTTATTATTTCATTAAATAGCTATTATAATAAATTTAATATTATGATTATAAAAATAATAATATACTCGCTCCGTCCCGGATATTTTGTCCGTGTTACTGTAAACACGAGAATTTACGAGGAGTATATTTAGTAAATAATTAAAAATATAATAGTGAAAATAATTATCGTATAATAAAAATAATTATAGATTAAGATTAAGATAATTGATTAGTATGATTAAAATTTAAAAAATTATAAATTAAATTTTTAAAAATAAAATTAAAATATATAATTATTTTCCAAAAAAGAAGTAATACATGAAAAGTGGGACCGATGGAGTAATAATTATGAAGATAGATGTTTTTTGGTTTATGATTTTTATTATATCTATGTGTAGAATAATTAAGAAATTGTTTATTCTAATTTTTATTAATAATACAATTAAATCACATAAATTAATATAAATGCTTTTTAAAGTATTCATTATCTATGCTGAATTATTTTTTTCAGATATAATCCATGACATATATGTATTTATGTGAAAGAGATGCAAGATTCAATAGGTTGTACAAAAAATAAACTCCGTCCGTACGCCTGGTTACATTTACGTTTTGCGCTATTGTACTTAATATTGAAAATATTCTTATATTTGTATAAATTTTTTTGTACAAATATCATTATATTAGTATTATAAGACACTAATGAAAGTATTTTTGTAATTTTCTTAATTTGTACTGCGTTTTGATATAATAATTAATACTCAAAGTTCAACATGCAAAAAGTAAATGAAACCCTTAAGCCGGAGGAATGTAATATATTTTAATAGTATATTTTGTCATTATATATAAGATTTAGCTTTTTACTACGAATCGAGTCCTATCAAATCATAATAAAAAATTCTTTTAATTTCATAATTGGTTGCGAGACTCAAATACTGCTATTATAAGTTTATATCCAGATGGATGGATTTTTATCGAATAAACTCTCTTCTTCGACGTTATTCTATCTTAGTCCAATTGGTATACAACCCGGCAGTCTATCAACATTGATC